CTTATATCTATTTAAATCATGTCATCTGTTATCTTTCTTCAGTCTCTTAACTCTTTTTCTTGGAATCCATATCCTAAATATTTCCAAAATATGTCTTCTAAGAAATCTTTTTTTCCAGCCGTGCAAGCTTTGAATTATGGCTCAATAATGAAACTGATATAGCAACAGATCACCTTCTTTTATATAATTCGCACCCTCTGAATTTAGGTACATTAATGTAGTGGATGGCATGAGCAGGGAAGATTCTGGAATGGAACTTCAAGGTTGTCAGGAGGGGGGAGAGGCATTCCAGGGCAAGCGCCTCCTCAGCCCTCAGCGAGAGTGTGGGAAGACGAAGAGGATGAGGCTGGCCCCTCCTAGAGTCTCACGGGTTATAGCCACTAATTGCTTTAGCGTAGGTTTAGTCTGGTGAGATTTTGTCTGTTAGGTGTTGGCTAATAAAGGAACTGAACTATACTGGATTGCCTCGCTGCTGTTCTTGGGCTGGACCTGACAATTAATGACATGAAAACCACTGATATAAGTAAGTTGTATGGAACTGTCCTGGGTTGAAATAAGAGCTCAGGTTGAATCGTTTTGTTTAATTGTTTAATTAATCAGACAAGTGCACTATTCCTATATGTTTCTTTAAAGTTATTATTATTGTGCTCAGCTGTGCCTTTGAGTGACTAATTCACAGTAGACTTCACATCTTCGAGAGTCAAGGTTTACATTACCAAGGCTCCATATCCTTTTCTGCTGTAAATGCAGAGTAGTCTGTTAGAATAACCATTAGGGCCCTTAATCAACTCACATATCGAAGGTGCTATACATAAAGGCAAAAATAGAATTCAATTTCAGCAGGATTTGCCTCAAGAAAAGAAACAAAAAAGTCCCTAATGCACTGAAGCCCACCTCCTAGGCAAACCAGCTTAAATGCCAAATGCCTTTCCAAATCAGAACACATTTCTCTGCTGGTGGAAATCACACACCAAGAAGGCTATTTCATGTATTTCCACCAAATGTGTCTTTGATGGTGCTGAGAATGAGAGAGGGGCCTTCTCTAAAGATGTTAAAGCTCAGGCCTCAAAAGGAGAAGGCATCTTTCAAAATTGGAGAGGCCTTTCTATTCCAGCCATTTAAATTTTACCTAGAAAGAGACTGGAAAACAGTTCACTTCTTTTAATGAGGGAGGTGGATATCAACTATATCAGCCCATTCAAAGGTATAGATGCACCGTTCTGGACTAGCTGAAGCTTCTAAAACAATCTCCAAAGCCTGGGTGGTATATTCATTCCCTTCCCTTCCCTCCCCACTTTATAAAACTCTGCTGGTACTTCCATGATGAAGGGAAGGCCTCTAATTTGGTGATAGTGCCTCTGTTTCATACCCACGGCACCCAGAATTAATTCCTGGTCTTCTCAGATACAACTGGAAAAGACTGCATTCTGCACCCCTGGACTGCTCTTAAGGAAATAATTTTATGCCAAATAAACCAATGGTGTAAGGTTGCTAGGCATGCTTATAATCTAGAACATGTAATGCTCTTTCAGTAAAATCATGGAACGGTGTCCAATATATGAAAAAAATAGTGTTGTCAATCAGCCAAAAAGATGGACTTATATTCTTGGCAAATATATATACTTTCTTCCTAAAGAATATTTTGTTTTACCAACTCTAATACAAGTACATCTTTCATCTTATGGAGAAATCTCATGTCCAAGCATATTTCCAAACTAAATGCACATAGAAGGTTTCATCCACATCTATTTTTTCTCCCGCTCATGAATTTTAAGATGTCTAGAAAAGGCTGAACGGTCAGCAAAACACCTCTTACATTTGGAGCATTTATAAGGTTTCTCTCCAGTGTGAATTCTCTGGTGGGTGGTAAATCCTGAAGAATAAGCAAAACATTTATCACACTCCAAACATTTATATGGTTTCTCTCCTGTGTGGACTCTGAGGTGATTGACATAACCTGAGGTGTTGGTAAAACATTTCCCACATTCCAAACATTTGTAGGGTTTCTCTCCCGTGTGGACCCTTTTGTGTCGCACAAGGTCAGAACTATATGGAAAACACTTCCCACACTCCAAGCATTTATAAGGTTTATCTCCTGTGTGGACTCGCAAGTGTTGTGCATAAGCTGAGTGTCCAGCAAAACATTTCCCACACTGAGAACACCTGTAGGGCTTCTCACCAGAGTGAACTCTTTTATGTTTCACAAAAGTGGAGCTGTCAGAGAAACATTTCCCACACTCTAGGCACTGGAAGGGTTTCTCTCCCGTGTGCAGTCTCCGGTGGCTGACAAGACTGGATCGAGCAGCAAAACACTTTTCACACTCCACACATTTGTAGGGTTTCTCTCCTGTATGAACTCTTTGATGGCTCCTAAGTCCAGAGAGTCCGACAAAACCTCTCCCACATTCTGAGCACATGTATGGTTTCACACCTGTATGAACTTTCTGGTGCCTCCGAAGATAAGGCTGTTGAGAAAAACGTTTCCCACATTCCGGACATTTGTAAGGCTTTTCTCCTATGTGAGTTCTTTGATGGTTCACAAAAGTAGACTGTTGAGCAAAACACTTCCCACACTCACAACACTTATATGGTTTTTCTCCAGTGTGGACTCGCCGGTGGTTTGCGAGTTGTGAGTGCTGAATAAAACACTTCTCACACTCGGAGCATTTGTAAGGCTTTTCACCTGTGTGGTACCTTCGGTGGTTCACAAAAGGGGATTGGTGAGCAAAATTTTTCCCACAGTCCAAGCACTGATAGGGTTTTTCCCCCGTGTGAATCCTCTGGTGGCTTTTGAGTTGGGAATGCTGAGCAAAACATTTTGCACACTCTGTACATTTATAGGGTTTCTCTCCCGTGTGGATTCTCTGGTGAATCACCACCTCTGCTTTTGTGGAAAAACATTTCCCACACTCAGGGCATTTATAGGGTTTCTCTCCCGTGTGAATTCTCAAATGTTTTGCACATGTTGAACGATCAGCAAAAGATTTTTCACACTTAGAACATCTGTAAGGTTTCTCTCCTGTGTGGATCCTCTGGTGGATGATAAGACCTGACTTTTGAGTAAAACATTTTCCACATATAGGGCACAGATGCTTTTTATTAGGGTCCTCTGTTGGAATCAAAAACAAATAGTAATATTATAAACTGTGAGAAGCCATGTAAGAGAATACAAGTTATTAAGAAGTGTATGGTGACTTGTAGTCAACAGCTAAGTGCTGCAACTTTAATTGAGCCCAGTTGAGAGATTGGTACAAAGTTTTGGGATAGTTTAAAACCTAAACCTCTTTTATGTTTCACAAAAGTGGAGCATAAAACCTATAAGGTTCTTCCAACTTCATAACACTTGAAAAAAAAATGTTTAAGGGCCTTTTTAAACACCAGTAGATCCTACTGCAAATATAATCCAAGGGATAGTCAATTCCAAGAGTATGAGGTAGATGGGAGAAAACTCTAAAACATGAGATGATCATTCTGGTATGAGGGAAAATTAACTGAACCTGTTTGTACAATCAAGCCAAGTACATAGGAACTTTAACTGAAATCCAATTATTGAAATAATTTGAGTGTTCCTAAATATATAGTCCAGACAGTCAGCACCAGCTGTTTGAATTGATGATTCTCTTAAAGGAGCATAAAATGGATCATTTAATCAGTTTTTTTAATCATTTAGAAGTTGAACAGGCATACCCTGAAGAGAAAAAAAATATAATAAAGTAGTCAGATTAGGTTTCTGGGAATAAATCATGAAATGCAAGCAGCAAATCCATAGCCCAAATTAAAGCAAGGATGTTATCTGGGAGTTGAAGTCCACCCATCTTAAAGTTGCTGAGGTTGAGGAACCCTGGTTTAGATCTCTGGTGTTTTTGTATCAAACAGAGAGTTGAATTAGATGGTCTACAAGATCTATCACACAATTCCATGGAAATTATACCTGTGATGTTCCAAAACATATTCATTTAAAGAAAGTACTGGCTTAAAGTTTCAGATGGTCTACACTGGAGATATTATCATCTGGCTCCCTCAAGATCCTCACCTGTGCTGGTGCAGATCAGCATCTTTTCTGAGTGATGATTATCTGTATTCCTCAGCATCTCACTTTTTTCCTCCGTACAGATGAGATCGGACCCGGCCATGGAAGAACCTTAGCAGGAAAGAATCACAAGAGTCTTGATGAAGTTGATTACAGAACACAACATTCTTTAGCATCATCTTCATTATTTCCAAAGTGTTTACATTAGCCTTATCTGGAAGTCTCCAGATTACCACTCCATCATTCCTCAGAAAAAATGATGGGACCTGTAGCCAAGTGCATCATGAGAGTATTGATCTGTGCAATAAATAGCGCTTTCCAAAGGACAAAATCCCCTCCCTGGCAAGGCATAAAATCATGACAAAAAGCAAGATAGTCCAAGAAAAAGAGGAAGACTCAGAGAGAAGTAAACAGGGAAACAGTGTGTGATCACTGTAGTTACATATATTCAGGTTAATTATAGTAAATCTTGCAAAGGTTTGAAGGCAAGAATTGCTAACATTAAGAATGAAAGTGAGAGGCACCTCTCAGGCTGATCACAAAAAGCAAGATGGACTTGGCAGAGTAAAGAACTGGACCAAAGGAAGACCTAGCTACAGTAACTCATGCCCTTATCACCATCAAGCTAGGCTACTGTAATGTGTTCTGCTTGGGGCTGCCCTTAAAAACTAATCAGAACCTACAATTGGTCCAAAATACTATAGCTGGTAAACTTTTTATCTCCCATTGTGGGAAGCATATAACACTGGTTTTGCAGATCCTGGATTAAATTCTGGATACAATTTAAAGTGCTGGTTTTAACCTATAAAGCCCTTTATGGCTTGGCATCTGCATATCTGTGGGACCACCCACTCCAACCAGTATAGGGCCAACTGATCAGATCAAACAAAAAGGAACTATTATTGATCCCATAGTTTTGTGAAATTTGGGCAGCCGAAGCAACAAGGCACTGTTTTTCAGTGGCAGTATCAATGTTATAGAATAGCCTCCCAGTAGAAATCAGGCTAGCTCCTTCCTTGTTGATGTTGTAGAAGCTTCTAAAGATAAAGTTTTTCAGACAGTCTTTTACCATGTCATCATCAACTTCTATTTTTATTATTTGTATTCTTATGTTTACGTGCTGTTGTTTTTATGGAAGTTTGTACTGTGGGTGTTTTATTTGTTTTTTATATTCTGTGTAAAGCTGCCAAGAAACTTTGGATGGCGATGGGATAGAAATGTGAAAAATAAACAAATAAATGGTAAGCAAATATTCCTTCACCAATGTACACATAATAAAATCCTGTAGTATTTAGGCAGAAAAAAACTCAAACGTAAATAGAGAATGGAAAACCTTGGGCTTAACGACAGTATATATGAAAAGTATCTAAGGATTTTAGCAGATGTGCCAAGTAATATGATTCAGTAGTGTTAAATGACAGCAGGAAAGGAAAATGGAATTTAAGGTTGCTTCTACAGGAAGATCCACATAGTAATAACTATTCTACTCTGACCAGATTTCACCTTGGTCACTGCGTCCACTACTGGGTATTTCAGTTGATGGAAGAAATCAGCAAGTTGGAATGTGGTCAGAGAAGAGCTGCTGAGCCCTGGAGGCCAAGACTCATGAGGACAGGCTGTAAGAGGATACATGAAAAAATTAAGGGGTGATACACTGTCTAGCTTCAAATATTTGAAGAGCGTTCATATTGATAATAGTACATTTGGTCACACTTAAGTTCCCTTTAAAATCTTACTTCAAGCTCTTCCCACCAGTTCCTTGTCTACTTTGATTTCCATTTTTAAGACACAGATTAATGGATGCCTTAAATAAGGGCATGAGAAGGGCAAGGATTTCTACATAAAGGTTCCCACACAGTCTCCCATCTCAAGCAGAAGCTAACCCTTCTTTTAACTGGCCACACACCAAGTGACAATGTACTTCTAGCTCATAAATGTGGAAACTTCCTCTGCATACATGAAGAACCAGTATTTTTCTAGGCATTCGTATGGGGAGAGGAGATCATTGTGGAATAGATCATTTTAATACGTATGAGGAAAGGGGATCATTGATGTGTTGGGGCAGTGCAGGGAAATCAGGGGTGTCAGCCCTATAAAAGAGACCAGACTAAGAAACCAATGCCATGTAGGTCAAAACTACTTTTATTGCAACAGCTATAGAAACAGAATCTTGCAAGTCTAAATGTGCTTCCCCCTCCCTCACTTTACCATCATGTGAACTAAGGAGGGGCTCATCTGAGATGTTTACTCACGTTACATCTTGGCCCAGGCTCAGGCCCCTCTTATCTGATCATTGCCTTAGTAGCAGCTCTTCCTCCTGTCCTTCAAGGCCATTCCCTCTTCCCTCCACAAGGGGACAGATGATGACCCTGAACAACACAGATTCATCACTCTTCTAATTCCCCTCAAACAGAAAAAACACATTCTTTACCCAGAGAAGCTCCACCTCCCCAACTTTCCATCAGGACACCCTTGAGCAGGACTAGTTCATTGGAATTCAGCAGAATTCCCTCCTGCTCCATGAAATTACCTTCAAAAGGTAATGACCATCCAAAAACAAAATCTAGTTACTAGTCATATTTTAATGACAGGCAGCAAAAACAGAGATGAGGACTAAACAGGCGGGATGACAGACTGGAATATCCTTTTTTTTTTTCCTGCTGTTTTTATTTTTATTTTTCAGGGAGCAGTATTTTTTTAATTGAAGTTACATTACAGCCTCAACAGGTGGCAGCACCTGGTCAGGAATCAGAAGGAAAATTAGGTCCAACATGGTTAAAAATTGCATAAGAGATCGCTATCAAATCCTAGGAGGACCATTGGTAAAACTCTCCTGTATTGCCCAGAGAAAGATAAACAAATACTACATCACTGTTTGCTGAGATCAGCTTTAAGTTTTTAAAATTCTTTAGGGCAAGAGCCATTTAGAATTTGAAAATTCCATTTGCAAAGTAAATTTAGAAGTTTAAGCCTTGCCAGGTTTGCTTTAGAGTCCTTCACTGTATAAGGGGAAGTAAGGGAAAGTTCATCCCCCGTCAAGTTTCAACTGTTTTGCTATTTTATGCTTATCACCCCCTATTCTTGTATTCAAATCACCCACTATGATAAAAAAATCTCCCATGAATTCTCAAGTGGTAGAGGAAACATTGCCACTTTGGCATCAGATCACATTTTGAAACATTCTTCTACCTGACAAATTGTCTCTGTAAGGAAAAATGGCAGTTAAAAAGCATTCTTGGGATAATTTTATAGAGAGCTGGTTTTGCTAGTTTATGATCTAATCTGAAGGGTGCTGATGGAACAGTTTCAAAAAAGCATTTGAAAATCCATCAGATTATATTTTTAGACAGGATTTTTAACACCTTGGGAAAAATCATGGAGAAAATTTTTCTATCTATCTATCTATCTATCTATCTATCTATCTATCTATCTATCTATCTATCTATCTGTCTGTCTGTCTGTCTGTCTG